TGTTCTGCTCCCACTCTGTCTCTGCTGAATCCTCTCAGCCGCCCCTGCGCCTCTGGCCTATACCCCAGTTCTGTATGCATAAATAAATACATCTTTAAAACAAAAAAAGAAAAAGTAAACTGTGACCCAACAAAGGGGAGACTGGGTGCAGGCAGCATTCCAGGCAAAGGAAGCAGCTGTGCAAAGAGCCTGAGGCTGCAGAACAGCCCCATCTGGGCTCAGGGCCGCCAGACTTTAACGATGGCCCTCAGCGATTCTCCCTGCCCTGCTCACACCTGAGAGCGAGAGCGCAGCCCATGCCTATGACAGGGCGCGAGGTGTCCCTACTGTGACCGACTCTCACTGTGGCGGGTGCACACTCTGGCCTCTCCCTTGCAATGCCCATTCTTAGTGAGATGCTCCAGGGAGAGGCCCACATGGCAAGGGCCTGAGGGAGGCCTCGGTCAGCTGCCCACGAGGACCTGACTCCTGCCAACCACCACAGGAGGGAGCCTGAGCTGGAAGCAGATCCTGTCCCTGGCTGACCCCTGGCTGACCCCGTGAGGCACCTGAGCCTGGGGGCCAACGAAGCTGTGCCCAGAAACTACGAGATAACACACATGTGATTGCCTTAAGCTGCTAATTTGTTATTTGTTGTAACAGGTAACTACCCCACCTCCGCACGACAGTAGTCAGCAGATGGAGGAGGAAGTAAGAGCAGGCAGATGTCCTGTTTGATGGGAACCGAAGACTCACAGGGTTTCCCAGAGGGGGTGGGGGAGCTGTATTTCTTTCCTCCAATCTAATGGAATCCAAATGGCTCCTATCCCCCTGCTGTGAGGGATCAACTCCCCCTTCCAGCCTTGACCAGCTCTAACTACAAGAGAGCCTTTTCCTGCTTGGGGAAGAATCTTTATCCCTGCAGCCTCCTCCCTTGACCTCCTTCTGCCTTTGGTGGACAGAATTCGAGTTCAATTCTTTCTTTTCAGCATGACATATATCTGGAAGTGCAGAGCCCAAAAGTCCTGGGTTCAAATCCCAGCGCTGCCACTGACAGCAGTGTGACCCTGACCGGGCTGCCTAGTGCCTCTGTAACATGGAGATAAACACAGCATGTGTCTGGCCCTCCCTGGTGGTGCAAGGGGTTAAGTCTCAGCACTGTGAAGCTATTGCAGCCACTGCAGCCCGAGTTCGATCCCCGGCCAGGGAGGTGACCCACAGGGCACGGCAGACCTCTCCTGTCTCCCCGCTGCTCCCCTCAGCAGTGGATTTCAGTAAATCCTTCTGTTCTGCTCCCCACTCACCTCTGGTGACTCCTCTCTCCACCTCTGCACCTCTGGCCTCTACCCCCATCCGTGTGTGCAAAAATAAATCAATCTAAGCAAAATAAAATAGCATCTGACTGTAGGGCTGTGCTGGGTGAAATAAATGCAGAATGAACTAAGCTCAAAGCCTAGTACTGAGATGCTCAAGGTTATTTCTCACAACTGCTGTGACAGATTAGAGAAGCCTGCAAATTTGTTGACTCCATTGTCCTCTCCCCTCGAACTTGTCAAGAGCTGCACAAGCTCCATGCTGTTTGACTGCTACAGCATAGTGAAAGCGACCTGTGTTAGTGTCCGAGCCTGGGGCTTAAGTGACTGCCAGTGGCCACTGCTGTCTGTTGTTAGCCTCAGTTCCAGAGCCCTGGGCTGAATGTTAGGGCTCTGCCTTGCTGAAGAAGCTACAGGAGAGGTCTCTGGTCAATAGTTCCCACTCAGCCTTCGCATCCAACATGTGAGTGAAACTGTCTTAGACTATCCAGATCAGCTCATCCACCCACTGGATACCAAATGACCCCAGTCAATGCTACAACAACACAAGAATCTCTCCGGCGAGGCATGTTCTGCTGGAATTCTGACCCAGAAGACTAGAAAAGACAATAACATGGTTATTGTTTTAAGCTAAATTTTGGTTAATTTGTTGCATGACTATTAACAATTGAAGCAACCTATTAAATACTTGAAGCTCCCTGTTTCCTTCTGGACTGAACCTGTCCACTCCTCTCCACTGTTGCAGACATGACAGGGTTTTGAGGTTTTGGACCATGGTGAGGGACTGTTTTCTGGGGAGCTGATGGACACAGCCCCCGGGGTGGTCTGTCCAGTGGTGCCAACTAGGACTCTCTCCAGAATGATTCAAGAAAAAAAAAAACAAAAAAAAAAAACATCGACTCATACGTTTTCAGGCGTGGCTGGACCTAGGTGTCCCAAGGATGTTGTCGACCTCCATTTCCTTAGTGACAACTTTTTTCTTAGATTCTTCTCATGGACACAAAATGCTTTAGAAACTCAGCTTCACGTGCTCTCAGGTTCCAGGCTAAAGATTACCTGCCATTCTCTCAACATTCCCAGCAACTTGCACTGATTCTCTTTGGTTTGTGGCTGGGTGACCCAGTTAGAGCAAACCACCATGGTCAGGGAGGCAGAATGACCTGGGTGAACACAGGTGCAGCCCACTCCGTCCAAATCATATGGACCTAGAGTGGGGACGGGTGATTCTCAAAAGGAAAACTAAGGTCATGGTCACAGAGGAGGATGAATGGATGACAGGGCAGTAGAACTCTAAATATCTACCTCCACAGTTAAGCAGAGAGGGAAAATTCACCTCCTTCATTCTAGGTGGCATACCTCTATTAATGCAGTGAGGACCACGTGTGTTACCTCATACTGCAAAACACATCAGAATTGCAGTGGGTTTGTTTTTTTCCCTCACGCAAGCATCTTCGTTAAACTTCCCTATCTCATATTCCCTCCGCCTTCCTTTTCCCCTGCTTGCCACCATGTGAACCATGCAGTCATGAAAAGTCCTGCCACTCCACCTCTGTGCCAGGAACATTGGTGCTTTCTGGGGCACAGCAACAAGCAAGAATAGACCCAGGTCTCCTTCACCTTTACAGAATCAAAGTGAGCCAGGGAGACAGCTTAGATCCAGAGTCAGATTCTGCTGCCCACGTGGACAGCCCAAACCCAGGGTTAGATTCTATGCTTTTCAGGACAAAAGCATGTCCTTTTGTTACGTCATAGAATTGGATTCCTTCGCCAGAGTGGACAAGCGACCGTCTGATTCATTAGGAGTCAGGAAATTTGCCTGTAACGTGTATGCATATATAAGTAATAACAACAGAATCTGTCTGTTGCCCAAGGAGAAACCCATCACAGACACAGCTAGATTACTGAGATGTTGACTCCAAAACCAGAGAACATTTGCATGTGACCCTGGAGTTCCGGTTGGGTTGTCAGAAAAGTCCTGATCTGTTTTTGCACAGAAAACATAAAAAAGAAAAGTCATGAATTTTCCAACAGCCCAATAGTACATTACTTTCATTTTATAATCAGCCCTAACTCAAGGTGGACGTGTGGGGGGCTGTGCTGATTCCCCCCTTTTGTGCCTTTGACAAATATTTATTACGCGCTGACTGCAAACTTGGCCCTGTGCCCAAGGCTGATGGTACATCTCCAGGCAGTGGCTGTTCTTGGAGGTTTCAGGGCAGGCTGGGGTGCCAAGGGACACAGAGCACATTCGTCTGTACACCTCACGAGCAGGAAAAGTGCCAGGAAAGGGAAGGGTAGGGTGTTTACCAGCATGCTTTCTGGGCATCCTTACTGATCTGGGGGAGGGGGGTCAGATGGGCTCCCCAGACAAAGTGACGTCTGGGCTGAGCTGTGAGAACATTTCCACAGGATCTTACGGTAAACACGGCAAGGACAGCCTGCCCTCCAGCTGTCCCCTAGGTAAACTCCTGGCTGCAGCAATCTGCATTCCCCAAGGCTGCCAGGAACCTTCCAGTAAGTAACCCTCCACTCTTCTATGACACACTAGGCATTTATTCCAGGGTGATGATCCAAGACCCCATACTACAGCCAGACATGTGACTGCTGGCCGGAAAGCAGAATCTGTCCAGGCAGGATCCCCACAAAGGAATCTGGACCCCAACCTGCTCTTCTGCTCAGCATCTGCTGGGGAAGAAAGTTCTTGGGGGTTTTCCCTTCTCCATGTTTCAGGCAAAGCCAACTTTCTAACTGGCTACTTCCTCCCCAGGCTGGAGTAAGGCTCCACCCCACTCCCTGCCTGGCCAGACTTTCTCCACCTGGGGGCAGGGCAGGTCCGCCAGGGTTGACCAGATCTTCTCTCTGGCCCCTGCCCTGAGGCTCTCACCGCCCCCCACTCCCGACGGAATTTCCTGGGACAACTTGTGGCTTCTTGAGCTTTCTCCTCCCCTGTCCGCGATGTCTCCCCATCAAAGCATGGGCTGGGCCCTTAGATTTGAATCACAGGAGCTGATACTCAGTAGCTCTGTGACCTTGGGCAAATTAATGAACCTCTCGGGGCGTCCATTCAGCCCCTCTAAAATGAGAATAAGGGACAGTCCTTGCTCCGCACCAGCGTTGTTGGGGATTAAATCAGCCCTGGCCCATTGTCTCACGGCTTATGCCACTCCCCGTCATACTAAATAAGCTCTCAATATGTCAGTGCGTCCCCAGCGACCCCGGCTTTGATTCCTTGCACACAAATACTACGTTCCCTCACTCCCCACCCCCCAACCCTAGAGCCGTTTACACCCGGCTCTCTAATCTCGAGGGTTCGAGTACCGGGGGCAGAGCTGTGCACACAGCAAAGGGCAGCAGTTTGCTCGGCGCACGGCCCGGCCCTGCACTCGCTCCTCGGAGCCGAGGTGACCCCAGCACGCGCGCGGGCGACTTCTGGGAAATGGTGCCGGGCGGCCAGGGTGCCCCGCGCTGCGCTCGGCCCGG